CTACAGATGCAACAAGGGTGAAAAATTTAGGTGTTGAACCATAATTAAAGCTGGGCTCGTCCTGGATTTGAACCCGCGACCTCTCGAACTGTAAGCGAGAATCGTACCCCTAGACCAACGAGCCATGTTGTATTGGTTTTATTTGCTGTGCAAAGTGCAAAAAACTACAGATCCAACAAGGGTGGAAAATTTAGGTGTTGAACCATAATAAAAGCTGGGCTCGCCTAGGATTTGAACCCAGGACCTCTCGCACTCAAAGCGAGAATCAAACCCCTAGAGCAACGAGCCATGGTGTATGGGTTTTATTTGATGTGCCAATGTGGAAACAAAACTACTGATGCAACAAGAGTGGAAAATTTAGTTGTTGAACCAAAATTAAAGCTGGGCTCGTCCAGGATTTGAACCCGGGACCTCTCGCACCCGAAGCAAGAATCATACCCCTAGACCAACGAGCCATGGAACATGGGTTTTTTTTTGGTGTGCAATGTGGAAACAAAACTACTGATGCAAAACACATGGAAAATATAGGTGTTGAACCAAAGTTAAAGCTGGGCTCATCCGGGATTTGAACCCGGGACCTCTCGCACCCAAAGCGAGAATCAAACCCCTTGACCAACGAGCCATGGAACCTGAGTTTTATTTGGTGTGCAAAGTGGAAACAAAACTACAGATGCAACAAGGGTGGTAAATCTATTTGTTGAACCATGAGGAAAGCTGCGCTCATCCGGGATTTGAACCCGGGACCTCTCGCACCCAAAGCGAGAATCATACCCCTAGACCAACGAGCCATGGAACCCGGATTTATTTGGTGTGCAAAGTGGAAACAAAACTACAGATGCAACAAGGATGGAAAATGTATTTGATGAACCATGAGGAAAGCTGGGCTCATCCGAGATTTGAACCCAGGACCTCTCGCACCCTAAGCAAGAATCATACACCTAGACCAACGAGCCATGGTGTATGAGTTTTAGTTGGTGTGCAAAGTGGAAAGAAAACATGGTATATGGGTTTTATTTGATAAGCCAAAGTGGAAACAAAACTACAGATGCAACAAGGTTGGAAAATTTAGTTGTTGAACCATAATTAAAGCTGGGCTCAACAAGGATTTGAACCCGGGACCTCTCGCACCTAAAGCGAGAATCATACCCCTAGACCAACGAGCCATGGAACATGTGTTTTCTTTTGGTGTGCAATGTGGAAACAAAACTACAGATGCAACAAGGTTGGAAAATATAGTTGTTGAACCATAATGAAAGCTGGGCTCGTCCGGGATTTGAACCCGGGACCTCTCGCACCCAAAGCGAGAATCATACCCCTAGACCAACGAGCCATGGAACCTGGGTTTTATTTGGTGTGCAAAGTGGAAACTAAACTACAGATGCAACAAGGGTGGAAAATGTATTTGTTTAACCATGAGGAAAGCTGGGCTCATCCAGGATTTGAACCCGGGACCTCTCGCACTCTAAGCAAGAATCATACCCCTAGACCAACGAGCCATGGAACCTGGGTTTTATTTGGTGTGCAATGTGGAAACAAATCTACAGATGCAACAAGGGTGAAACATTTAGGTGTTGAACCATAATTAAAGCTGGGCTTGTCCTGGATTTGAACCCGCGACCTCTCGAACTGTAAGCGAGAATCGTACCCCTAGACCAACGAGCCATGTTGTATTGGTTTTATTTGCTGTGCAAAGTGCAAAAAAACTACAGATCCAACAAGGGTGGAAAATTTAGGTGTTGAACCATAACTAAAGCTGGGCTCGTCTAGGATTTGAACCCGGGACCTCTCGCACCCAAAGCGAGAATCAAACCACTAGACCAACGAGCCTAGGTGTATGGGTTTTTATATGTTGTGCAAAGTGGAAAGAAAACTACAAATGCAACAAGAGTGGAAAATTTAGTTGTTGAACCATAATGAAAGCTGGGCTCGTCCTGGTTTTGAACCCAGGACCTCTTGCACCCGAAGGAAGAATCATTCCCCTAGACCAACGAGCCATTGAACATGGGTTTTCTTTTGGTGTGCAATGTGGAAACAAAACTATTGATGCAAAACACGTGGAAAATATAGGTGTTGAACCAAAATTAAAGCTGGGCTCGTCCGGGATTTGCACCCGGGACCTTTCGCACCCAAAGCGAGAATCATACCCCTAGACCAACGAGCCATGGAACCTTGGTTTTATTTGGTGTGCAAAGTGGAAACAAAACTACAGATGCAACAAGGGTGAAAAATTTAGGTGTTGAACCATAATTAAAGCTGGGCTCGTCCTGGATTTGAACCCGGGACCTCTCGAACTGTAAGCGAGAATCATTCCCCTAGACCAACGAGCCATGGAACCTGGGTTTTATTTGGTGTTCAAAGTGGAAACAAAACTACAGATGCAACAAGGGTGGAAAATGTATTTGTTGAACCATGAGGAAAGCTGGGCTCATCCGGGATTTGAACCCGGGACCTCTCGCACCCTAAGCGAGAATCATACCCCTAGACCTGCAAGCCATGGAACCTGGGTTTTATTTGGTGTGCAAAGTGGAAACAAAACTACAGATGCAACAAGGGTGGAAAATTTAGTTGTTGAACCATAATGCAAGCTGGGCTCGTCCGGGAATTAAACCCGGGACCTCTCGCACCCTAAGCGAGAATCATACCCCTAGACCAACAAGCCATGGAACATAGGAATTCTTTTGGTGTCCAATGTGGAAACAAAACTACAGATGCAATAAGGGTGAAAAATTTAGGTGTTGAACCATAATTAAAGTTGGGCTCGTCCTTGATTTGAACCCAGGACCTCTCGAGCTGTAAGCGAGAATCGTACCCCTAGACCAACGAGCCATGTTGTATTGGTTTTATTTGCTGTGCAAAGTGCAAAAAACTACAGATCCAACAAGGGTGGAAAATTTAGGTGTTGAACCATAATTAAAGCTGGGCTCGTCTAGGATTTGAACCCGGGACCTCTCGCACCCAAAGCGAGAATCATAGCCCTAGACCAACGAGCCATGGAACATGGGTTTTTTTTTGGTGTGCAATGTGGAAACAAAACTACTGATGCAAAACACATGGAAAATATAGGTGTTGAACCAAAAGTAAAGCTGGGCTCGTCCGGGATTTGAACCCGGGACCTCTCGCACCCAAAGCGAGAATCATACCCCTAGACCAACGAGCCATGGAACCTGGGTTTTATTTGTTGTGCAAAGTGGAAACAAAACTACAGATGCAACAAGGGTGGAAAATGTATTTGTTGAACCATGAGGAAAGCTGGGCTCATTCTGGATTTGAACCCGGGACCTCTTGCATCATAAGTGAAAATCATACCCCTAGACCAACGAGCCTTGGAAACTTAGTTTTATTTGGTGTTCAAAGTGGAAACAAAACTACAGATGCAACAAGGTTGGAAAATTTAGTTGTTGAATCATAATTAAAGCTGGGCTTGTCCTGGATTTGAACCCGGGACCTCTCGAACTGTAAGCGAGAATCATACCCCTAGACCAACGAGCCATGGAACCTGGGTTTTATTTGGTGTGCAAAGTGGAAACAAAACTACAGATGCAACAAGGGTGGAAAATGTATTTGTTGAACCATGAGGAAAGCTGGGCTCATCTGGGATTTGAATCCGGGACCTCTCGCACCCTAAGCAAGAATCATACCCCTAGACCAACGAGCCATGGAATGTGGGTTTTATTTGGTGTGCCAAATGGAAACAAAACTACAGATGCAACACTGTTGGAAAATTTAGTTGTTGAACCATAATGAAAGCTGGGCTCGTCCGGGACTTGAACCCGGGACCTCTCGCACCCTAAGCGAGAATCATACCCCTAGACCAACGAGCCTTTGAACCTTGGTTTTATTTGGTGTGCAAAGTGTAAACAAAACTACAGATGCAAAACACATGGAAAATATAGGTGTTGAACCATAATGAAAGCTGGGCTCGTCCGGGATTTGAACCCGGGACCTCTCGCACTGTAAGCGAGAATCGTACCCCTAGACCAACGAGCCATGTTGTATTGGTTTTATTTGCTGTGCAAAGTGCAAAAAAACTACAGATGCAACAAGGGTGGAAAATTTAGTTGTTGAACCATAATGAAAGCTGGGCTCGTCCGGGATTTGAACCCGGGACCTCTCGCACCCAAAGCGAGAATCATACCCCTAGACCAACGAGCCATGGAACATGGGTTTTCTTTTGGTGTGTAATGTGGAAACAAAACTACTGATGCAAAACACATGGAAAAAATAGGTGTTGAACCAAAATTAAAGCTGGGGTTGTCCGGGATTTGAACCCGGGACCTCTCGCACCCAAAGCGAGAATCATACCCCTAGACCAACGAGCCATGGAACCTGGGTTTTATTTGTTGTGCAAAGTGGAAAGAAAACTACAAATGCAACAAGAGTGGAAAATTTAGTTGTTGAATGATAATGAAAGCTGGGCTCGTCCGGGATTTGAACCCGGGACCTCTCGCACCCAAAGCGAGAATCATACCCCTAGACCAACGAGCCATGGAACCTGGGTTTTATTAAGTGTGCAAAGTGGAAACAAAACTACAGATGCAACAAGGGTGGAAAATTTAGGTGTTGAACCATAATTAAAGCTGGGCTCGTCCTGGATTTGAACCCGGGACCTCTCGAACTGTAAGCGAGAATCGTACCCCTAGACCAACGAGCCATGTTGTAATGGTTTTATTTGCTGTGCAAAGTGCAAAAAAACTACAGATGCAACAAGGGTGGAAAATTTAGTTGTTGAACCATAATGAAAGCTGGGCTTGTCCGGGATTTGAACCCGGGACCTCTCGTACACGAAGCAAGAATCATACCCCTAGACCAACGAGCCATGGAACATGGGTTTTCTTTTGGTGTGCAATGTGGAAACAAAACTACTGATGCAAAACACATGGAAAATATAGGTGTTGAACCAAAATTAAAGCTGGGCTCGTCCGGGATTTGAACCCGGGACCTCTCGCACCCAAAGCGAGAATCATACCCCTAGACCAACGAGCCATGGAACCTTGGTTTTATTTGGTGTGCAAAGTGGAAACAAAACTACAGATGCAACAAGGGTGGAAAATGTATTTGTTGAACCATGAGGAAAGCTGGGCTCGTTCTGGATTTGAACCCGGGACCTCTTGCATCATAAGTGAAAATCATACCCCTAGACCAACGAGCCTTGGAAACTTAGTTTTATTTGGTGTGCAAAGTGGAAACAAAACTACAGATGCAACAAGGGTGGAAAATTTAGTTGTTGAACCATAATGCAAGCTGGGCTCGTCCGGGAATTAAACCCGGGACCTCTCGCACCCTAAGCAAGAATCTTACACCTAGACCAATGAGCCATGGTGTATGAGTTTTAGTTGGTGTGCAAAGTGGAAATAAAACTACAGATGCAAAAAGAGTGGAAAATTGAGGTGTTAAACCATATTTAAAGATTGCACGCCCGGGATTTGAGCCCGGGCCTTGAACACGGGACCTCTCACACTCAAAGCGAGAATCATATCCCTAGACCAACGAGCCATGTTGTATGGGTTTTATTTGATGTGCCAAAGTGGAAACAAAACTACAGATGCAACAAGGTTGGAAAATTTAGTTGTTGAACCATAATGAAAGCTGGGCTCGTCCAGGATTTGAACCCAGGACCTCTCGCATCATAAGCGAAAATCATACCCCTAGACCAACAAGCCATGGAATGTTGGTTTCCTTTTGGTGTGCAATGTGGAAACAAAACTACAGATGCAACAAGGTTGGAAAATTTAGTTGTTGAACCATAATGAAAGCTGGGCTCGTCCGGGATTTGAACCTGGGACCTCTCGCACCCTAAGCAAGAGTCATACCCCTAGACCAACGAGCCATGGAACATGGGTTTTCTTTTGGTGTGCAATTTGGAAACAAAACTACAGTTGCAAAACACTTGGAAAATATAGGTGTTGAACCTAAAGTAAAGCTGGGCTCGTCCGGGATTTGAACCCGGGTTGAAATTTGAGGTGTTAAACCATATTTTAAGATGGGCTCGCCCGGGATTTGAGCCTGGGACTTGAACCCGGGACCTCTCGCACTCAAAGCGAGAATCATATCCCTAGACCAACGAGCCATGGTGTATGGGATTTCTTTTGGTGTGCAATATGGAAACAAAACTACTGATGCAAAACACATGGAAAATATAGGAGTTGAACCAAAATTAAAGCTGGGCTCGTTCGGGATTTTAACCCGGGACCTCTCGCACTCAAAGCGAGAATCATATCCCTAGACCAACGAGCCATGGAACATGAGTTTTCTTTTAGTGTGTAATGTGGAAACAAAACTACTGATGCAAAACACATGGAAAACATAGGTGTTGAACCAAAATAAAAGCTGGGCTCGTCCGGGATTTGAACCCGGGACCTCTCGCACCCAAAGCGAGAATCATACCCTAGACCAACGAGCCATGGAACCTGGGTTTTATTTGGTGTGCAAAGTGGAAACAAAACTACAGATGCAACAAGGGTGGAAAATGTATTTGTTGAACCATGAGAAAAACTGGGCTCATCCGGGATTTGAACCCGGGACCTCTCGCACCCTAAGCAAGAATCATACCCCTAGACCAACAAGCCATGGCACCTGGGTTTTATTTGGTGTGCAAAGTGGAAAGAAAACTACAGATGCAAAAAGAATGGAAAATTTAGGTGTTAAACCATATTTAAAGATTGCACGCCCGGGATTTGAGCCCGGGACTTGAACCCGGGACCTCTCGCACTCAAAGCGAGAATCATATCCCTAGACCAACGAGCCATGGTGTATGGGTTTTATTTGATGTGCCAAAGTGGAAACAAAACTACAGATGCAACAAGGTTGGAAAATTTAGTTGTTGAACCATTATTAAAGCTGGGCTCAACAAGGATTTGAACCCAGGACCTCTCGCACCCAAAGCGAGAATCATACCCCTAGACCAACGAGCCATGGAACCTGGGTTTTATTTGGTGTGCAAAGTGGAAACAAAACTACAGATGCAACAAGGGTGGAAAATGTATTTGTTGAACCATGAGGAAAGCTGGGCTCATCCGGGATTTGAACCTGGGACCTCGCGCACCCAAAGCGAGAATCATACC